CGCTCCAGTTGAGCCACAGCTGCTGCCTTCTCTCAGTAGTGAGGAATGGGAGAGAAATTTAGAGGCTATAGTCGATGCTGAAGGTCCTGTCGCCGAACCTTCAGCTGTACATGTTGTCTTTGCATCAACTCCAGCGTCCACATCAACGGCATCAACTCCAGCCTCAAATCGTGCGTCTGCCTCGAAAAGGAAGCACCACTTCAACCAGACTCATCTCCAGTTCGCGCCGCCTCCCCCTAAGCCTCTGCCACCACCAGAGCCAGAGCCCATGCCACAGCAAGTGCCATCGGCTGCTTTAACCCCCGCCGAGAAGAGGGTGTAGGCCTATCTTGCCGCGCAACGGAAGTATATTGCCGACTTGTTACCGAGATTCCCCTGGCTAGTGCTGGATAAGACTAACGATGGTGCCCCTTGCTTGCGTTGCAGTATCTGCATGGAGCACGGCAAAGACCACGCACGATACGGGCGCAACGGTGCTAGTGGACAGGATCTCCAGATCAGCTCGATGCGTTGGCATCAGGAGAGTACGAAGCACGAGAACGCCATCAAGAAGCAAGAGGCGCTGCTGAAGGAGGTTGAGAATTAGAAGAAAATGGAGGACTTCGCGAAGCATGACCCTGACGGCGCGATGATCATTCGTCTACTTCGAACTATGCTGTTCATATACAAGGAGGATGCCCCGAATGCCATGTTCACGCGGCTCGTTGGGTTCAAGGCAGAGGAGGGTGTCAAGGACATTCCAAGATAGACTTATGGCGTCTACATCACGCAGTAAGTATCGGGGTGGCTCATGGTTTTTCGTACTTATTCTTGGTGAAATTGTGACTGCTCTGCTGTCGTATCAATCACCGAGCTAATTTTGGCTTATCCATGCCCTTTCCAGGTGCAGATATGGCTTCAAGGAAATTGGTGGGCGCAATGGTGGCGTACTTGAAAGCACAGCAGATGCAGCATATCCACGCATCACCCTTCATCGGATTGAGCTGCGACGAGTCAACTGACAGAACCCGCGGCAAACATCTCATCATCTTCGCGACGTTCTTGAAGAAGCGGCGAGTCGTCACAGAGTTCCTGACGCTGCTTACACTCGACAAGTGCGACGCGGCAGCTCTGCAGACGGCATTACTCGGGCACCTGGAGTCTTGCGGCATCAAACTTCACAAGGTGGCGGGCATCAGCACGGATGGGGTGTCTGTCATGACGGGAGAGCACAACGGTCTGGTAGCGCGTCTTCGGGTGCGCATTCCGCATCTCGTTGGCTGCCACTGTTTTGCACATCGGTGAGTTCATGCAGGTCGAGCGCGCTTGTCTTCCCCCTTGCAGCCCCGACGTTTCAAGTATGTTTCCTCGCATGTACCACATGTCGGACTATTTGTTATCCGTGATAATTGCCCGACCTTGCATGTTTCTTCACAACTCGTAGTGAGGCCCTTGCAGTGAAGGATGCGGTCAGCGCCTTCCCCGACCTCTGGATCATCGACATCGTCATTCGTGGCTTTGGCGAGATCGTTGGGCGTTCAACACCGTGGTACGAGAGGTTCAAGGAGCTCCAGCTGATCATCCACAACACGAACCTGGAGCACCAGGGGCTCTTCAACATCCAGTGGCTTTCGCGTGGAGATGCCATAAAACGACTCTGCAGGATCCTCGGCGTTGTGATCGCTGTGCTCATCGAGTACAACCATAAGCTGGTTCGATTGGTCAAAACGCTCAAGTTCCACTTCTCTCTGTACTTTCTGGCTGACATCCTCGCTGAGCTCAACACGCTCAACAGGTTTTTCCAGAAGCGGTCGGTATGTTTTTATCCCATATCCCCTTGGTCTTTGTGTTTCATGCCGCCGGTGGCCTGTTGTCATGTGTTGGACTGTGGACTTTCTTGCCGTTGCTTTTATTACCCCAACCTCACATCAGGTCGACATCACCCTTGTCTCGCATGAGGTCGACCGCACCGTCACGTGCATCAAGCATTGCTACGTGGAGTATGGCGAGACCTTCGGCGTGGGGCTGAGCAAGCGGCTCAACAAGTTTCTGCAGAGCTACAGTGACGGAAGAAATTGTCCGCATGTTGGTCAATTTTGTGGAAAATTGCCAGTTGTTGATTATTGGGAAGTTTATAATGTGACATGCTTTAATGGCCTGGTAGAGAAAGGCAACAGCACACGTATGATGCCAACACTAGCCATGTTTGGTTTTGTTATGCAGAAGTTCATAGCATTAGATCCATGGATGTACATTAGGACAGATAGTTCCCATTTCAAACAAGGCATAACACGCTCCATAATCAGTACCTAGTCCATCTACCCTGTGCCCTAACAACGGCCTTCACCCTCCAAGGCATACTATCTATCAATCCCCTACAAACTTCTGCTCCAATACTCTCCCAAGTCTCCTGCACCCGCTCCCAAGTTTAGAGCATGCGTGAGGGGGGGTGCTCATACTTGGCGAGCTCACGTTTGAGGTGAGACCATAGGTGTTCGATGGGATTGAGGTCTGGGGAGGAGGAAGGCCACTGTAGGACTGAGTATTCCTGTTCAGAAATGAACTCTTGCACAAGTCTACTCTTGTGCTTAGGATCGTTATCTTGCTGGAAAATCACATCACTGGCGGTTAGAGAGTAAAAATCGATAGTCTGAGCAAGCTCATCCTGCAAGATCACACGGTACAGCTGTCCATCCATGCGTCCTTCGATCTTACACATAAAATCGAGGCCATCATAGGTCATACATCCCCATATCATTATGGACCCGCCCCCATGCTTCACACACTGCTTCACCTGATGCGCTTGAAGAGCCAGATCCACGTGAAGCTGCGGCCATCGCTGCAGAAGCGGTGGATCTTGGTCTCATCCGACCAGATCACCCGCTTCCAGTCCTCGATAGTCCAGTCTAGGTGTGCACGAGCGAATTCCAAGCAATCTCGGATGTTACGCGCCGAAAGACGTGGCTTCTTCGGTTGCTGTACATCGACAAGCCCAGACAGCTTCAGGGCATTTTGTACTATGCGCGGGCAGACCTTAATGCCCTGAACTAACTCTTACTGTTTCGCGGCCTCTATACTCGTTTTGACAGCCCCTGAAGTCACGGAATGCACACGACATCGTCGGTCACGCACCGAAAGCAAACGAGGGCGGCCTAATCGAGCTACTGTTGGTCGTACTGCTAGGCGGCTTGTGCATTGGGATGCCTCTTCCGCATATTTCTGTACTGTAGTTTTCCCTATCCCTAACATGCTCGCAATCTGACGGAAACTACGACCCTGATCAAGAAGGGTTAAGATTCTGTCCTTTAAACGCTTTCTTATCGGGCGCATCGTGGCAGGGATCTTGGCGATGTTTTAGGGAGAGTATCGCGAATTTCTACTTGCATAACCTAGTTCGAGCGAGAAATGCAAGAAAGAAGTCGGTCTAGGCTCTCGGTGGGAGGTAATTGTCCGAATCGAGAGAGTTACCTAAAATTCTGTACACGTTTATGTAATCTCGATATTTGTTATAAGAGATATTTGTGTTTCAACCCTAACGCCCTAAGGCAGAATGTGTGTGGCCCGTGACTTCTGGTAACATACAATATAAATTGCGTAACACGCTTTTATCATCAAACACCACAATTTCGAGGCCAAAAAAATCCGTCACTGTATGACGAGAATGACGGCAAGGTGGTGGTGCACGGCACGGATGACGACGGGCGCCCGGTTTCCCACAGTTTCAAGCTCATGGAGAGCTCCCTGCCCCACCACAAATACGATGGCACCAAGGTGGCCTGCATCACGCTGTGCACCACCGCCTTCGCTGAAGACACCATACAGAACCTGAACTAGAGGATGTGGGACCTGAAGCGGATGGTCGGCTCGGAGCTGTACAAGGTGGACACATGGCCGAAGAAGCAGGAAGTGCGGGACCGAAGAGCGCGCACTTGGGTCAAGTCGAACCTGGAGCTGTTTGACAACAAGCTTCCTGATATGTATGTTGTCGATCCCTCCATGCACGTATCCCTAGCACCCACAATGTCGTCGCGCTATATGAAGATATAAGTATCCATGTTTTATAAAACGGTGGCAGCACCACCATGATTCTTAATCGATGTGTTCTCTTTCCATGTCTCGAATCCCACCCGAGCCCTTCCACAGGAGTTGAGCACCTGAGCTGGAGTTGAAGACTTTATGTCACATCATGAAGACGCACCATGCTGATGACGACTTCGGCCAAAGCCTCGCCAACATGTTGAAGACGAGGGACTGGGCCAAGAGCTATCCGAATGTCATGAGGATCTGGCAGGCGATGGCGGTTCTGCCCTTGAGCACCGTCGAGTGCGAGCGCGGTTTTAGCAGGCAGAACGCAGTCAAGAGCTGGCTGAGGACGAGCCTGTATGATGCAAGACTCGACGACCTGATGACCATTAGCCTCCTGGAGTACGACATGAAATACCCTGACATCGTGGAGATCTGGAGGTGCCAAAAGAACCGCAGACAGGCAAAAGTAGTGGCTTATGAGAGGAGCAGCGATGCTGCCAAGGGCAAGGAGCATGATGAGTCCGATGAGTCAGAGGAGAGTGGCTCTGGTGAGAGTGCCTCAGAGGAAGAGGAGGATGAGCATGATCAGTAATGTATGTATGCGTATTTGAAATGAAACGTGAGTCTATCGGACCAACCACAAAAACCCCTTAACATGTGTCTGTTGGGGTGCACTACAGCAGCACAGAGTTGTGGAAATTTCTCCTCTGCACTACCAGAGTAAATTTTTCAAAATGGTAAAAAACCCTGGCAAATCAGAGAAAGTGTGAGGGTGCACTCCGATTTTCAGAGTAATGCGAAAAGCCACTCCCCAATAACGGAGTAGTAAAAATCCAAAAGTAGGCCTTGGTCCTCACGAGGTATTCGCGATAAAAAGACCCTGTGTCCGGACCGGAGTGAAGCCCCATGGTCCCTTTTTCGGGGGGTATTCATGCGGGGAGATTATGGTGGCGACAAGTACAACTACTGAGCAACATCAGAGGGGCCAACTGTTGTAATAAGTACCCCCTCCCAACAGCAGATTTCTGCAAGAACCTATCACTTCCCAACACTCCTCTCAACATTTCTTCCACCCAAAGCCCCCTTGCGTTCTCTCGAGTGCCTGCCCCTTGCGAAGCCACGTATTTCAAGGACCAACAATGCAGCTTCGTGAGCCCCGGCTCAGAAGGATCAGTGAATGTGAAACCATATTAGTGATTACGAGGGGCTAAAAAATGATGCCGAGATGGCAACAGCTACGCTAAGGTAGACTCAACTATCAATCAGGTGCTCCAGCCAATCTACAGTTGCCGATACACCGCAAGCACCACCACATATACACCTCTATCGCCATTCCCGTGCTTGGGCAGAGATTTCAGAAGACTTCACTTGGTTCGACGTTCTCAGCATCCTCTTGCCTTATCCTGCACGCACCACATGCACACAAGCACACATTTCATTATGCATGTCAAATAGAAAGCAGACGTACAGACAGGGAAGGAGCTAAGAACGAGAGCAGGTGGGAGGAGAGGAAACTGAACATCTTGGCTCAAGCTGGAGGAGCACTCGCTGCACACCGCCCCTTGCAAGGAACTCCCGAGCTTTCGCAGCTTACACACACATGGTCTTCCTTGGGGCTTTCTACCCCCGAAACCCAGCGTCTGCACGGCACCAGCAAGCATGCGCATGCCTACAAGCACAGCTCACCTCGTTGACCCTCCTTGTGCGTTCTTTTTAGCTGTACTGGCAGCAGGGCCCCTCTGTCTGGACGCATTGGCAGCACTTGGGGCTGCTCGGCTGAGGCCAGCCGAGCAGTGGGAAGGCCCCCACCAAACAAGGTCAGATCTACAAGCACAGCTCACCTCATTGCACCCCACACGCTACTAACACTCACCTCATTGCACCCCACACGCTACTAACACTCACCTCATTGCACCCCACACGCTGCTAACACTCACCTCGTTGACCCTCCTTGTGTGTTCTTTCGAGCTGTACTGGCAGGGGGCCCCCTCTGCCTGGACGCATTGGCCGCACTGGGAGGCGCTCTCCCCAGGCCAGCAGCAGAGGCAGACTGGTTGGGCACGGTGCGCGTGACAGTGGAGACCCCGTCGATGAACTTGGTGCGGAAAATGACATTTGCGTTGTTGAACATGCCCTCTTTCAGAGATACCACTATGAACTGCAGGGGTGGGGTGAGTGGAGAGCAGGGAAATGAGAGCCGAGTGGGAGCAGGGGAATGGGGAGGGAAGCGTGCGAGCTGAGCAGGTTGTGTGATGTGAAGCATCTGCCATCAGAATTTTAGCTTTTACTGTTGATCCAGTGTAAGACGCACGCTTTTTCAAGAACGCAGTAGAATAAAAGACTAGCTGGAGATTGGAGTGAATTCACAGTTAGAGCAGATTCGCCACCTAGATGACTCGACAAGGTGGCTGCTGCATATGAAGGAGGCAGGGCGCCTACCTGCGAATGCGGGAAATGTTGCTTGATCATCTGGCCAATGTTTTGCGTGTGGTTCAGATCCAACGCTGCGTCAACCTGCAATGGATGCATCACAAGAAGGCAGAAAGCAGAAGTAAGTTACCAAGACACAAAAAGGTACATGTAATGTAAGGGTCGCATTAACAAAGGTCCCATGTCCATAACTCTCCGTGCATCGGAGAACACCTGGCTGAACCTAGCGAGGAGATCCAAGCATGTGCTGCAAATGATCTACAGTGGCAGTGCAGGCTTGAACATCAGCAGGACAGGGATGAGGATGAGCGACAATGCAAAGCGTTTAGGAGGTTGACCCTTGTCCGACAGGGAGTAATCCAGATTTCCCTGAATGCCCACCTTCACCTCCAGCCCCACTCTTAGGCGCTTAGGAGAGACCAGAAAACGGCATTAGCCCAACACTGCACCCACTTCAGCGAGAACGTAGATCAGAGCTGGCTTGAAGAGCAGCACAGCGATGATGAGCGAGAGGGCCAACAGTGACCATTGCCCGCCTGACAGTTCAGAGAGCGAGTGCTTCCACACGCCCCCAAACGCCACCTTCATCAACACACACACACAGGCACACACACTAACCTCGTCCAGAATGTACAATGGCGCCGGTTTGAAGAGCAGCAGGGCGAGGATGAGTGAGAGGGCCAGCAGTGACCGCTGCCCGCCAGACAGCTCAGAGAGCGAGTGCTTCCACACGCCCCCAAACGCCACCTTCACCTCCAGCCCTGCTAGGAAGTCCTGGCCCTCTGGGGGGTCGAGCTTGGCTGTGGTGCCCGGGAGGAGCGTAGCGAATATGGAACCGAAATCCCTGTGGAGAGGTTGGGGAGGGGAGGGAGGGAGGGAGAGGAGGACATATGCGGATTGGATGATGGCGGGAGGACGCTAAGTCCTGCCCCTCTGGGGGGTCGAGCTTGGCCGTGGTGTCAGGGAGGAGCATGGCGAAGACAGAGCCTAAGTCCCTGTTGGGAGGGACGGCGAGCAAGGGATGGGATGACGGGGCGACAGTGAGCGCGCTGAGAAGATGGACGGCAAGTCCCTGGGACGGATGGAGAGGGGGAGCCGGGGATGGGAAGCGAGTTGGGATGATGGGATGCCAGATGGGATCATGGGGTGCCAGCTGGACCCACGCTTCACGAGCCACGACCTTTCAGAATCGATTTTGCAAACGAAAGGTGACATTCGGCAGTTGAGGTTCTATTCCAAGTGAGCCCACCCACTGTGACAAGGCGAGGAGGCTTACTTGGTGACTTTCTCCCACGTGACCTTGAGCTGCTTCTTCTTCTTCTCGTCCAGCTGCTCTATCGCCTCCTCTATCTTCGCCTTGTCCCTCTGCAGGCAGGAGGGGAGGACAGTGGGGAATGGGGAGGAATGAGGGGCGTGTTAAATCGATTCAAAGTGCTTTTGCTTCTTCAAGTGCGTCGGGAAGATGCAGAGAGAGGGAGGGAGCGGAATGATGGGGGGGAAGAAGGGAGAAGTGAGAGTGATACATGAATGATGAATCAATCGAGGAAACAAAACGTGCCAACCCGTGGTGCAAGAGAGGAGAGCGCCAGAGAAGAGGGTCGCTCCATCAGCACGAGTGCAACACACGCCACCTACCAGAACGATGTCCTTCTTGGCCTGCAGGTCCTTGTACTCTTGCTCTGTCTTGTCGAACATGGCTATCACCTTCTTGTTGATGCGCTTCTCCACACTGCAAGGCACGGGATGGAATTGGAGAAGGGTGGGGAGGGGGTAGGTGCGGGGTAGAGCCCTAAGGGTAGGACATAGAGGGGTGAACGGAGTAAGAGAGCACATGGCAATCTCCTTGTTGTTGCGCTTCTCCACACTGCAGATGGGGAGGCAGGGAAGGGGGTGCATGGAGCTTGCTGACAACAGCAGCGGCAGCTCATCCCTAATCACCTGCTCTTCTTCCACTGCTCCTGACGGCTCTCCTCTGACCGCATTTTACTTCCACTGTTCTCGTGGTTCTCACCTAATCTACCCAACCTGCCCCTCACCCGCCCCACCTGACTCTCGCCCGCCCCACCTGCCCCCCACCTGCTCTGCTCCGGCTGCTTCTCTGCCAGCAGCTGCCTTGCAGCCATGGGGTCCCGCGAGTGGAAGTCGTAGTCAGTTCCCGCCTCGACGAAGTGCGCCCTCTCGACGGCCATCCACGCACGCTCTTGCTGCTTCTGACGACTCTGACCGCTTATTGCCTTGAGTGCTCACATGGTTACCACCACCTGCGCTGTCCTGTGTGCCTCTCACCTGCGCTGCTCTTGTGTGCGTGTCTCACCTGCTCTGCTCCGACTGCTTCTCTGCCAGCAGCTGTCTGGCAGCCATGGGGTCCCGTGACGGGAAGTCGTAGTCAGTACCCGCCTTGCCAAAGTGCGCCTTCTCAGTGGCGATCCAAGCGTGCTGCTTCAGCATGCGCTCCACGTCCTTAAAGCCCCTCTGCTGCTCCGCCTCCCGGGTCTTCACCTGCACACCCCAAGGGAAAGGAAGTACACATTTGAGGCGCCTCACGACTTGCCAAAGCGGATCTTCTCATCAGCAATCCGCGTGCTGCTTCAGCATGCATTCCACGCCTTCTGCTGCACTGCTCAAGGGTCTTCACCTGCACGCACCACGATAAATATTAAAACCGCAAGCCATTGTTGAGGCGCCTCAAAAGCCATTCCAGAACAAGAGTGGAGGGCTGGCCTGGCCTCTCAACTCAAGTGATGAAAGCCGCTTGGCCTTGAGAGGTCACAAGACAGCGTCAGAGTGACAATCTTCTTTCACTCTTCCTTCACGCTCAGCACTGCTAGACCTGCACCCTTCTTACTCTCCCTGTGCTTGGCCAGTCTGAGCCTAACCGTCTACACGTTGTGTGAGAGAGCGAACCTTGTACCCGCTTCCACAGTTGTGTCCAGCTGTATCGAGCCGCATTCACAGGGGCACAAGGAGCATAGACCTTGCCCAACAATAATCCTTCCAAGACATACCTCAACCAACAATGACCTTCCCTGGTACGCACCTGGTGCTCGAGCTTCCACTTCTCCATGCGGGCATTCATCTGCCTCTCCTCCATCTCCCCCACCTCCCTCTCCACCGATGCCACGCTCACAGTACAGAGCGAGCAAACACCACAACTCACCTGGTGCTCCAGCTTCTTCTTCTCCATGCCGGCATTCATCTTCCTCTCCTCCATCTCGCCCACTTCCCTCTCAACAGCACCCATGCGTTCATCGCACGCCCTTAGCTCGCCCTGCCGCCTCTCCACCTCGCCCTGCGCCGCATCCAGCTCCTCCTTCACGCCCGCCACCTTCCTCGCAGCTTCTTCCACCTCTTCAGCCAGTCTCCCAACCTCTGCCTCTGCTGCGGCGATCTGCTCCTGCGCTGCTGCCTCCTCGCCCCTCGAGGCCTCCACTGCTATTGCCAGCTGCTCCCTCTCGTTCTGCTTCGCCTGCAGACAACAGGAACACAAAGAAACAGGAAAGCAGGTGAGTTTCGGAATAGGACACAGGGTGGCTGATAAGCGGGAGCAATGTTAGCCCAAAAAACACAAGGTGTTTGTTGCTACACCTTGAGAGCTTTGCCTACTGTTGGGCAGCCTTCACTTTGGCATCCAGGGCGTTTTTTAGGCGCTGCCCTCTCTCTCGCCCCTGGCTGCTCCATCTCCCTCTCCAGCATCGTTTGCCTCACCCCAATAACACCTACATCATTGCTGCTCACCTTGAGGGCTTTGCTCGCAGCAGCCGCCTGTTGCTTTGCCGCCTTCACTTTGGCCTCCAGGGCTTTCAGCCGCTGCCCTCTCTCCCGCCCCTGCTGCTCCATCTCCCTCTCCAGCGCCTGCGCCTCGTCCAGCAACCCCTTCTCCTTCCCTTCTGCCTCTGCTGATGTGGCTTCGCACTGCGCCAGCTCAGCCTCAAGCGCTGCCAGCTCCTCTGCAAGCTGCACAGAGACGGCAAAGAACAGCACACGGAAGTGACGCCGTCAGCCACGTCATTCCGGCTATCAGGTGCAAACGAGTGAGCGTGTCAGGTGCTGTCAAAGAGCTAGTGCCAGCTCCCCTCAACCACTTTACATGGTGGTGCTTGCTCTCCCATCATCCGATGGGTGCTCGCTCCCTAACTTTCCTCATCCCACCTGCTGGTGCTCGCGCTGCCTCATCTTCATCCCACCTGCTGGTGCTCACTGTATCTCACCCCCACCGACTCACCTGGTGGTGCTCGCTCTGCTTCATCTGCTCCTTGGCGAGCGACAGCTGGTGCGCCTTCAGCTGCAGCTGCTGGGAGAGCTCCATGTACTGCTGGCGATGCTGCTGCAGGGCTTGCAGCTGGGGAGGGGCAAGCAGAGAGAAAGTCAAATGGCGAGATTGCAGAGGTGGAAGATTAACAGCGCACAGGTTAACACGTGTGAACCAGCTGCTGCGAGAGCTCCACATACTGCTGGCGCTGCTGCTGCAGGGCCTGCAGTTGGGGGAAGGGACAAGCAGAGAGGAGGTCGCCAGGGAGGGAAACAACAATGTCTCGTGCGGCAACACAAGAATGAGGAAAGAGAAAGACCCACGAGCAGCAAAATGACAAAACGTGCATATTCCGTGCACTAGCGAAGTGTGTGAGACAAGAGCCTTCCAGAACCGTACTCAGCTACCACCTGCCGCGTCTGCTGCTCTAGGACGCGCACCTGGCTCTCATCCTCCTCCATGGCACATCTGTGTGCACAGACTGCTCACCAGCCTGGTGTGATGTAGTTGAATTCAATGCAGCTTACCTCAGCCAGCACTTGGTGCAGCTGTCGCTCCAGGGCTGCCAGCTGGCTCTCGTCCTCCTTCACAGCATGCAGGCGAGAGAGCAGCACTCCGCCGCCCCTGCAGAGGGAACGGCATGGTGGGAAGCAGAGCACATACGTTGAGCCTCATGTTTCAAATCAGCCTTTGGGGCAAAACATAATAGACTTAGAAAGAAGGTTTTTTTCCATTCACGATCGCTTTCTCCCCTTTCCAACCGGTCTCCCTCCCCACTTCTCTGTCTCTCACCTCCTGGAACCTCCAGTGAGCAGCCCGCCTGGGTTGTAGCTATCACCCTCCAGGGTCACACACGGGGTCATGATGTCGGGATGAAACGCCACCTGCCAGGCGATGGGTGAAGGGATGGGAGGGAGGGGGGGTAAGAATAGCGAAATATAGGAGGAAACGGGAGAGAGGAATGGCCAGAGGAGCAGAACTACGAGAACGATACTTGGAAACAGAGCGTGAAGGTGCAAACAGACTTTTGCACCTTCTTGGCAGTGGCGGAATCGCGGCAGATGAAGCTGTTGCCAAACGCGAAGGCCATGGCAGGCTGGAGGACAAGCAAGGGGGACACAAGGGAAGAGAACCCGTCTGCCCTTGATCCTCAGTTCACTAGTTACAAATGATTTTACGTCTGACATCACACAAAATGTACAACCATCTAGAAAATACATGTAGTTTTAGCAGCCTACCTGGAGCTCAGGATCGAAGTCCACAGCAGAGAGAGCAGTCCACACGTTTTCCCTGCCAACCTGGAAAGGTTGAATGGAAGGGTGAGGGAATGGGTGGTTGATTAGGGTAGTCATACACCCTTTCTAGGGTAGCCCTGTTGCCTGACTTGTACCATCCTACCACACTCAAGCCTGTGGCTTCATTCACACATGGAGGGATAAACTGGCAGCTCATTAGCTGGACGGCGCGGTTGAGCTTGGCCTGGGAGATGCAGCGGCTGTCAACCTTTGTTGCGACGTGTCTGACTTTACACACTGCTACGACATCTCCCCAGCTGGACGGCGTGTGCTGCATTATCATACCTTCTCACGTGCTTCAACCGATTGACCTCTCACCAGCTGGACGGCGTGTGCTACATCATTGCACCTTTCACGTGCTACAACCCATTGGCATCTCACCAGCTGGACGGCGCGGTTGAGCTTGGCCTGGGAGATGCAGCGGCTGTCGATCTTGTTGAGCGGGATGAGCGTCACGCGGCGTTGCAACCTGCCGTGGCTCAGCAGCTGCTTGCCCGTGTGCTCCGAGTCCACCACCACGTTGTGCAACCTGCCGCCCGCCACCACCTGAACGAAATCAAGGAGGGGGAAAGAGAGTGTGAAGCCCCATCAGAGTGGCCCAGAAGCTGCTTGCCCGTGTGCCCCGAGTCCACCACCACGTTGTGCAGCCTGCCCCCGGCTATCACCTGACAGAGGAGCAGGAAAAGGAAGGGGAAACAGCACCACGTGAAGGGTGTGAATCCCAGTCGGAGTGGCTCAGTAGCTGCTTGCCCGTTGCTGCCACGTTGGGCAGCCTCCCTCCCACTTCTACCGGGGTAAAGGACGGAAGCAAGAACGCTCAAGATTCAGTCAGGTCGAGCAAACAAACAAGCTCACCTCGAGCGCAGTGGCCATGGAGGCATCTCGCATGCGGAAGAGCCGCGCCAGCACGCCCTTGACCTTGGAGCGGTCGAAGCCCCTCTCAGGGTCGCTGTAGGAGAACCCGATGTTCAGCTCGCGCGCAGCCGCGTCCACCCGCTGACGCAGCTGTGTCACCGCTGCCTCCTTCTCCGCCTTGGACTGAGAGAGGACGCGGGGGGAGGGAAGAGAGGGGTTGATGTGAGGACATGGAAGCCCCTCTCAGGGTCGCAGTACGAGAACCCGATGTTCACCTCGCGAGCTGCCGCGTCCACCCTTTCATGCCGCTTCGCGACTACTTCACCTCCGCCTTGGACTGAGAGAGCGGGGGCAGATGGAGGAGGGGAGAGTTGAGGACGGGAGGGTAACAGAGGAGGAGAGGCGCGACGACATAACTGTGCAGCAATTGCGGGATACAGCACGCTACGGGCATGTGCGTACCTTCCCAAGTGCAGACTAGTGCTGATCATCATGCCCGAGCCTCTGGATCCCCGTCTACATTTGAAGCGCCTCAAAGGTAGCATGCGCGCTCACCTTCTCAAGACCAGAGTAGTGCTGGTCGTCATGCCCGAGCCTCTGCAGCCCCGCCTCGCACGTCGCGACCTCCGACTCCATGCCCTTCACCCTCTGCTCCAGCCCGCTCGCCGCCTTGCGCTTGCCCGCCACCAGCCGCCCCTTCTCCCCCACCTCCTTCCGCAAATGCGTCACGCGCAGAGCCGCCTGCTTGCCCTCCGTCGCCGCTTCCACAGCCGCCGCCTTCAGCTCCGACAACTTCTGCGCCATGGTCTTGTCCTCCCCCGGGTGCCCGGACTTGCCTGCCTGCACGGCGGCGTATTCCTCCTCCGCGTCTGTGAGCGCCTTGGTCTTGGTTTCGGCTTCGGATTGGACGACTGCCAGGGCGTCGTCGGCGGATTGCATCTGAGCCGCTCGTTCCTCGGACCCTTTCCGCATGTCAGCCAGAGCTTTGACCAGCTGCGGGAAAGAAAGAGTAATAGTCGGAAACCATTATCGGAAATAGTGTAACTATGCAGATTATCACCCCAACACGGCTCGCTGCTTATAAACAGGAACGATCCTCTAAACAGCGTCGTGGCTTACCTGCTCGAGCGCCTTCTTCTCGGCTTCAAGTGACTCGCTCTTGTTGTTCCAAACGGACGTGAATTTAACGAGCTCCTTTGCGATTTTATCCGCGCGCTCCTGAACCTCCTTCATCGCATCCCCCATCTGCCGATCCTTCTCCAGCAGCATCTCCTTTATAATCCCCTTCTTCGATACAATCGCCTCGTGACACTCCTCCTCCAGCCTCGCCAGCTCCGCAATATTCTCCTTGATCTTCTCCACCACCTCCACCGCAGAATTCTTCGCCTTTTCCGCCTGAAAATACTCATACGCCACGCAAAACCTGCTCAACCTGTCAATATCCGAGTTCCCCTGCAGCCACGCCTGGTACTGCGCGCGCTCGCGCCTTAGGCTCTCTAACCTGGGAAGAATCTCATCCGACAGCACCTTATTAATCTCCTCCACCTTGGTCTGCTTCTTTTCCAGCGTCTTTAAAGCGCTCTCCTTCTTGTTCTCGTACATGCGCGTCCCGGCGGCCTCCTCCAGCATGGAGAGGATCTCGGGGGGTTTCATGTTGAGCACCTTGGTGATGCGGCCCTGGTGATGGGGAAGTGTGGGTTGTTCACGTTTAGCTGCACCGAGTGTGGCCACAAGACTTGGGCGAGCAGCAGCTTGGAAGAGAAACTTTAGCAAAAGAGTCACAGTTAGTAAAAACCTTCAAGCCTTCATGAGTGCGAGTCCGACCTGCATGATGAGGAAGTGCGGGTTGTTCACGTTCAGCTGCACGGAGTGGAAGAGCGTCTGCACGGCGCTCGGCTGCTTCACGTGCCCGTTGATCAGGTACTTGTTGCGCCCGCCGATCACGATCTGGGAGGCAGCACGAAGGCGGACAGCAGAGGGAAGGCGAGCGTCATGAGTTCGGATGTGCATCTCACGAAGGGAAACGGCAGCTAGCGGGAAGGCGGAAAACCAGTTTCAGGTGGATTCTTCTGATCGACGACCATATTTTGAAATTTCTCTCACCTGTCGCGTGACGGTGATTCGGTCATGATCCTCGTATCCAACCGGACTCGCGGCCTTATCATTGTTGTTAAACACAATTGAAACCGTCGCGCGCGTGACGCCGGCCTGGCCCTGCTTGTAGATGAGCTCCTGCAGGTTACTAGCGCGTACGTGCTGTAGATTGGTAATCCCGAGCACGAAACAGATGGAGTCGAGGATGTTGGACTTCCCTGATCCGTTCAGGCCGGTGATCGCGTTGAATTTCGAGTCGAAGTCTCGCACGACGGTCCTCTGCGCGTACGACTTGAAACCCTCCAGAGCAACTTCCTCGATGTACATCTTGAAGGCGTTTGGAAAGGAAACCAGAGATTAGGACAGGACCTCTGATTAGCTAAGCGGGATGCTATCGCAAATGAGGACGCGTCTTTGAAATGGGTGGACAAGACCACTCAAATGCTTGGTCCACTGCGTAAACTGCGTGTTAAACGACTCCTGCTTCCTAGGACAACTGTCGTTATCCTAACAGGACAACCCGTACTCCGAGAACCCCCGAAACTGCTATAAGATACTTCAATGGCTGCTTGACAATCGCAAAAATTGAGACCGCTAGGTCACTCGAGCTCAGTCACTACCGCCGTAGCTTAGCTGCCTTCCCTCTGCTTCCTTCTACGTCGCAGTGCTCGAGTAAGCTTCTGTGGCCTGTCTTTCGCAAAGCGCGGAATCGGACGAAATCAAGGGAGACTGGAGGTGAGTTGACTCGGGGAACAGACCTTGGGATGATCCAGCACCAGGGAGCAGGTGCGAGGGGGTGACCCCAAGCTCTCGGATTGTCAGGAATCCAGTATTGAGCTCGTAGCGCGCTGCAGTTCAAACAGCGCGGGAAGCTCGAGGTCGGCCAATCAAGAACTGAAGGGTATCAGACGCCTTCGGAATGTACGCGTTGGTGTTCAAACCACTTCAGCAGTTTTAAATCCGAAACACTTCAACGCTTCGTATTGAAACACTCTAACAATTGCAGAATGATAAATGGTGTTTGTGATTTGCAAAATGGCTAACCAAACAATGAGCACACGGAGTAAGGAAATTTCAGTTTGTTTTTTATGGCGCTAGAGAATAGAAAAACTTAGTAAAACAATTAAGGACAAAATTATTGATTGCATTTGTTGCTCCTTTTATTTATGATAGAAGAGAAACACTTAACACATTAATGAAGAACGAGTCCAATACTCAATCGCGCTCAATAGTGCGTGATCTACTGGAAGTTCCCACTCGGTCAAGCCTTCGTTCAGTAACCATGGTTTGATGTTGCAATGCTATAAAGAGGGTACCAACGCCGAACTATGGCTGCTGCTACCTTGTGGTCTGCCCTCCCGAATGCCTGAAAACAAGTGAAATATAACAAGCAATTTAAGCATTACAGGATAAAAGACAAACAAAGCAGTTCTAGTAGACACACCACCTCACTGGCTTTGCAAAAACTGTACCTGTGAGAAGCCATAGATGGTTATTTGCCTCTTTGTAGCATCATGGTTGATCCGCCCCCCTCCCACAGCCTCTACCTGCCATGTCCAGAAAATGCACACGCACCCCTTCACATTCATTACGAGGGGGGATGTGCATTACACTGACATCCTCACAAAACGGACAAAAGCTCTGGAGCTGCCTTGTGCCAAGTAACCAGTGCTAGTGTTGTGCTGTGCTGTCATACCTTGAGCCCCAGGGGTGCCATGAATCGTGCTGTGTGCTGCAGCACATCCATGTGGAACGGGGCCCTCTTGTCTCCGCGCACTATCTGGGAAGAGGGGAGAGGTAGGGAGAGAGGAGAAGGACCCATGTGCTGCAAAAAGGCATAGCGAAACACAACCCTCTTCCTCGCTAGAACTGACTTGAGAGACGAGAAGAGGAGGGGAGGGGGACGGGGATGGAGGGCACACAGAGCAAGCCCTCCTGTCCCCTCCTGCTGTCTGAGAAGAGAGGAGGGAGTGGGGAACACAAGGGAACGAGGGGGTTGTCAAAAAGGGTGTAGGGAAGAGAAGGAAGCAGAAGTGTGGGGGGGGCGGAAGGGAGAAAAGGAGGTTGGGGCGAGAGAGGGGGAAAGGAGGGAGGTCTGATGGAAACGTTGTGTTTGCTTCATTTTGTTCGCTTCCATACTTTCCTGAATTCGTTATCACAACAACTCACCAAGCCAGAAACTCCTTGCAACCAAATCAACCTGCCATGCTGTCTGTGAGGATTCGGTCAGCTCTCTTGTCAAGTTCATCCCATACCATCTATGCAACTCTTTTGGGTTGACTAAAAAAAGGCATCTTCTTAGTTAGTTTGTTTTTTTGGTTTGTTCTGTTCCAATTCTATTGTTGGCGGTTGTTGTGGCACCTTTCTCGTCACTTGTTGCATTCCAGTGTTTCCTTTCCTCTCAAAGTCTTCACCGTAAGCTCTTGCAATTGCTTGTGCAATTGCTTGAAAGGGGTTGGTTGGGAAAGGTAACCAGCCTCACTGAGGTAAGTTTTTGACTTCCAAGTCACACACGAGCACTCGACTTGAAGTGCACCTGCAATCTGGGAAAGCCCAACACACACGGCAAGAGTTTCTGATCGGATGGCTAATAATCTAACATCTTCTAGCTTCAAACCGTCTGCAACCTAGAGCCGTCGATCTGCAATTTTCACGATCGCCGTCGGATCTGTCAGTTTTTCATCGTGGAGTCCATTATCCAACCAAACCCCCTTCCCTTTGATTTGTCTCGCCACTACCACCCCTCTGCACTCACCCCTCGTGTTCTTTTCACGATGTTTTCCACGAAACCAGTCACGATTCGCAAAGTCTGCCCACGAGTTCAAACGCACTGCGTTTGGACAATGTGGGCTGCAGGCTTTTAAAGCTTCAGGGTACTGTGGTTACCACATTGGTGGAGCTCCGCTCACGGGCTTGGAAGCATGGTGTGGTACCAGCTAAAGGCACTTAAGTTGCCGGATTGAAGGTGCTGCGCTTACCAGCTTGGAGCGGCCGTGTTCGGGCCAGGTGAGACGAATGAGCACATACTTGAATATGCCTGCAAGAAACGGGAGGTGTGGATGACATGGATGATATGGATGATATGGATGACATGGATGACATGGATGACATCGATAGGATGTACGAGTATGGTTAAATAATTCACCAAAATTATTCCATGGTTGTTGCATCGTGAGAACGTGTTTAACATGGCATCAAGCGGCATGGCGTGGCATGGCATGGCATAAATTGATATGGTCTGGCGAGGAAATGGCATGGCATTGCATTGCATGAGTTGATATGGTGTGGTGTGGCATGGCATGGCATGGCATGGCATGGCATGGCACGGAACATTTCTGGAATAAACGAGAGTACAGCATGATTCTTATAGGCAAAAGCGTATGCCCTAGTTGTTCCTGTACTGGCATGGCATGGCATGACAATAATCATGCCAACACTGTTGATGCCAACGTCATCTGTGTCAATATCCACGACACCTGTGTCTAAATCCACATCATCTGCATCTACATCCACGTCACCTGTGTCAATATCGACGTCAGGGACCATAGCCCCAGGCCAGTCCGCATCCTCATCGCCCACCTGCCCCTCCTCTCGCCCCTGACCCTTGGCCCAGCTCTCCACCAGGGAGCGTGCAATGGCATAGGGGCCAGGGATGGCGACGACAGAGAGGGGGACAGGGGGGAAGGTCCAGGAGGTGGGGGAGGGTTGGGTGGCTGGGGGAGGGGACGCATCTGTTGTGAAGACAAGGGGGAGGGGAGATACGGGGAGCGGGAATGGCAGGGGTATTTGAGGCTGCTCAAATGGCATAGGGGTCAGGCATCGCGACGGTAGAGAGGGCGACAGGGGGGAAGGTCCAGGCAGTGGGGGAGGGAGGGTTGCGGGGCCGTTGCAGGGGGGCTGGGGATGTGTGTGTTGTAAAGAGGAGAAGGGTATGGAGGGAGAGGGGAAGGGAGGGACGACAAGGGCAGGCAAGGGGAGGAGAAACGGAGAGAGAAAGGAAGGGGGTCAAGGGGACGAGGAGGGAGGGAAGGGAGAAGGGGAGATGGAAGTAAAGGGCGGGAGCTATACAGGAACCTAGCCTTCAGTGGTTTGCACACACTCTTCCCTTTGATTTGAAATAAAGCCCTTGGGCAGTGTTGTGATTCTGGTTGTGCTAGAGCTACAGGCTTGGGAGCAGAGCGGAGGATCATTGTTGTTCTCGAATGAAAAGGTGGGGCGGCGCAGCAGGCTTGGGAGCAGGGCGGAGCAGGTGGGGTGGGGTTGTTCGAGCCAGATTTTGCGGAGAAGGGCGTGGCTTTAGTGAATCATTTTTTGGTTCAAGCATAGCGGAGAAGGGCTCTTGCAGCCAGGTGTTGGAAGAGGCATAAAAAGGAGACCCCCCCCACCGTCTGATGCGGAATGAAACAAAGACTCCTGTTTCGCAACCGGCGGGCCACAGGGGGATATCTCACCAGCAGAGGGCTCTTGCTGCAGCCAGGTGTTGGAAGAGGCGTCATCTAAGAGAGCTCGAATGAAATCACGATGGAACCAACGCGCATCCTGTGGGGGGAGGGAGAGGGAGGGAGAGGGAGGGAGAGGGAGGGAAAGGGAGGGAGAGGGAGGGAAAGGGAGGGAGAGGGAGGGAGAGGGAGGGAGAGGGAGGGAGAGGGAGGGAGAGGGAGGGAGAGGGAGGGAGAGGGAGGGAGAGGGAGGGAGAGGGAGGGAGAGGGGAGGGGAATAGGCAGAGAAAAAAGGAGGGAGGGTGCAAGGGGAGAGATGGCAGAGCTGCGAGGGTAGAATAGCCCGCAGGACAGCAGGCACTCTTGGTTGAAAAACCACAGGTCGCACCCCCCTCGTCCCCCATCAAGCTGGCTTACTGCTTTACTTTCAAGTACTGGGTAGGGTGCTTTGAGCCCTCTGCCTCTAGCCAGAGGGCCATCGAACACGTGAGGCTGAGGCAGATGATTTTCATGGACACTAACAAACGCGTGTGGGGGGGGGGAAATAACAAATGCATGCGTCATACTTCGTCGCTGTATGTTCGACCCACAGGTATTTGCTGCCAGGGCACTAAAGCAGCAGCCGTTCTACCCCCCCAGGCCGTGCTAGGGCTATGACAGGGCCATGGCGGGAGGGCCAGAAGGTTGGAGGGCTGGAGGGCTGGAGGGCAGGGCACTTGAAGCCTCACCTCGTCCCCCGCCTCACCTCGTCCCCCGCCTCACCTCGTCCCTCGCCTCACCTCGAACTCGTTGGTGTCTGTGCGAACCACTGGCAGCTGCTGCCACGGCACTAAGGCAGCAGCCCTGTCGGCCCCTGTGATGTGAAGGCCGTACTCTGGCTCGGAGAGAGCCATGGAGGGAAGGAGAGCTCGAGCACAGGGACCATAAGATCTTACCTCCAGCTCGTTGGTGTCTGTGCGAACAACTGGCAGCTGCTGCCAGGGCACTAAGGCAGCAGCCCTGTCGGCCCCTGTGATGTGAAGGCCGTACTCTGGCTCGGAGAGAGCCATGGAGGGAAGGAGGGCTCGAGCACAGGGACCATAAGATCTTACCTCCAGCTCGTTGGTGTCTGTGCGAACCACTGGCAGCTGCTGCCAGGACACTAAGGCAGCAGCCCTGTCGGCCCCTGTGAAGGCCGTACTCTGGCTCGGAGAGAGCCATGGAGGGAAGGAGGGCTCGAGCACAGGGACCATAAGATCTTACCTCCAGCTCTTTGGTGTCTGTGCGAACCACTGGCAGCTGCTGCCACGGCACCAAGGCAGCAGCCCTGTCGGCCCCTGTGAAGGCTGTACTCTGGCTCGGAGAGAGCCATGGAGGGAAGGAGGGCTCGAGCACAGGGACCATAAGATCTTACCTCCAGCTCGTTGGTGTCTGTGCGAACCACTGGCAGCTGCTGCCACGGCACCAAGGCAGCAGCCCCCTCCTCTCCGGTGAGGCCGTACTCTGGCTCTGGTAGCCACGGGGGGGGTGACGGAGGGCCAAAGGGCAAGGCACTTGAGATCTTACCTCCAGCTCGTTGGTGTCTGTTCGAACCACTGGCAGCTGCTGCCAGGGCACCAAGGCAGCAGCCCTCTCCTCCCCTGTGAGCCCGTAGTCTGGCTCGGAGAGAGCCATGGCGGGAGGGCCGGAGGCCAGGGCTTGTGCTGTGAAAGCCACCATGAGGGAGGAGGGGAAGGGCCACGGTTGGCTGGCGTGGTACCTGGGGGAGGGAGGGAAGGGGGAAAAAGGGGGAAAGAACGGAGCACAGAGGGAGGAATGTGTGCTGTAAGTGCTATCATGGGGGAGGAATGTGTGCTGTCAGTGCTATCATGAGGGAGGAATGTGTGCTGTAAGTGCTATCATGGGGGAGGAATGTGTGCTGTGAGTGCTATCATGGGGGAGGAGTGTGTGCTGTAAGTGCTATCATGGGGGAGGAATGTGTGCTGTAAGTGCTATCATGGGGGAGGAGTGTGTGCTGTAAGTGCTATCATGGGGGAGGAATGTGTGCTGTAAGTGCTATCATGGGGGAGGAATGTGTGCTGTAAGTGCTATCATGGGGGAGGAATGTGTGCTGTAAGTGCTATCATGGGGCAGGAATGTGTGCTGTAAGTGCTATCATGGGGGAGGAGTGTGTGCTGTAAATGCTATCATGGGGGAGGAATGTGTGCTGTAAGTGCTATCATGGGGGAGGAATGTGTGCTGTAAGTGCTATCATGGGGGAGGAATGTGTGCTGTAAGTGCTATCATGGGGGAGGAAGCGAAGGGTCACGGCCGGCTGGTGTGGTGCCTGGGGGAGGGAAGGTGAGGAGTGAGAGAAAGGGAGAGGGATGGGGGGGAGGCAGACAGGGGAACAAAGGAGAGGGTGTGGTGTGAATGGTACCATGAGGCAGGAGGGGAAAGGGAGGGGCATGGGGACACAGAGGGCAGGGCGTGTGGGGTGAATGCGACCATGGGGTGGGGAGGAAGGGAAGCGCCAGGGCTAGCTGGCGAGATATCTGACGGGGGAAGCAAGAGAGTGCGGCAGGGAAGGGGGGGGGGGAGATTAAAGGCAGGGAAGGGGGGGGGAAGATAAGAGGAAGGAGGCCAGAGAGAGAGTTACACGGGCTGTACACCATTGCCATGGGAACATGGCATGCCGGTTGAGCAGAAAATTGGCGTCCTTCATCCGATCTATGAAACTCATTCAATAGTGTCTGAATTCCAGATTATCACAACATGACAGTATCAGGAACAATGTGCACCCTTGCCTCCTCCCTCACCCCCTCACTGTCTCACGATCAAGGTTCGCCCGCACTAGTAGTCCTCGATATAAGCCAGCACTAACAGTCCTTGATATAGCCAGCACTAATAGTCCTTGACATAAGCCCACCGAGCGCACCCACTCAACAGTGCTTGGATCGATTTGCACCCTCGCCTCCTCCCACCCACACCTCCGCACACCTCCTCACACTAATCATTAAGGTTCAATCATCCTCATTATAAGTCCACTGAGCCCACTCACTTTACAGTATTTGGATCCACGTGCACCCTGGCCTCCTCCCACACCTCCCGCACCACCCCCATCTCAAACGTCTCCCCCACCTCCACGAATCCCGCCAGCACCGAGTAGCGCCCCTTGGACCAGCGCGACTGAATGAGGAAAGAATGGAGGGAGGGTTCAGAGGGGACGATAGGAAGGAAGGAAGGAGCAACGGAGGGAGCATAAGAGAGAGAACAAGGGTAGCTAGAGTGGCCCCCCTAGGGTAGCGCGCTCTGAGGCGCGATGAGTGGAGTGCAGAGAGTTTCAGTCGACCCAATAGTTTTGCTGCTGAAAAGGAGTTGTGCGCTCTGGCTGATGCGCCATTGATTGGAGTGAATATCATGATCATGATTTGATTTGTTTTGATTCGATTGGGGTCCGAGTGTGCGCGTGAGAACAGCATGATTACCTTGCCACAGCACCTCGCCACTGCCTTGCAACAACACCTCACTACAACACCTCACTACAACACCTCACTACAGCACCTTGCCAACTCACCTGCCTTCCCAACAACACACAGTCGGCCCAAGAGATACAGATGACGCCTCCTAATTGGAAGCCGCACTATCCCTCCACCCCCCCCTCTTTCCCCACCAACCCCATCCCACACCCCCCATCCTCACTTCCCCCTCCCCCATCCCATCCCCCCTCCCCCCTCCCCCATCCCATCCACCCTCCCCCCTTCCCCATCCCATCCCCCCTCCCCCCTCCCCCCTCCCCATCCCCCCTCCCCCCTCCCCCATTCCACCCCCCTACCCAAAGTACCTGTCTGTCGAGCAGCATAGAGTCGCCGCATGGCGCCACCAGTCAGCACCACAACTAACCACCGCCCCATTAAAGCCCCCCGTTCGAGCCCCCACTTGAAATCGCACCTGTCTGCCCAGCAGCACAAAGCCGCCCCACGTGACACACATGATGTTGACTGCCCCTTAACTAGACCTAGACCTCTTTCCCTCCCCCTTTCCCCCACCCTCCCCCCCTTTTCCCCAAACGACCTGTCTGCCCAGCAGCACAAAGTCGCCCCACGTGACACACATGATGACTGCTGGATCCTGAGGGAACGGCAAGGGGAGATAGAGTAGAGGCGTGGGGAGGGCAGGGGATGTGGGCATATGCTGACGACACTACTGGGTGCTGAAGCAGAGAGGGCAGGAGATTCCTAAGAAAGGAGAGTGAGCAGGAGACGATTTCGAAGAAAAGAGAGTGAGCAGGAGACGATTTCGAAGAAAAGAGTGAGCAGGAGACGATTTCGAAAAAAAGAGAGTGAGCAGGAGACGATTTCGAAAAAAAGAGAGTGAGCAGGAGAAATTTCTCAAGATGCAGGGGGAAAGCTGGGAGGACGGCGCTAGAATTCAGGCAGACAGAAGGCAGTGAACATGAGAGAGTGGGCATGACGACAACGGCAGAAAGGCCATGGTGGCAACAATGGCAGCATATTTTTGATTTGTTTTTGACGTGCCTCGAAACAAGACGTTGACGGCGCTATGACAATACGCGAAATTACACGAACGCACACATGGACTGTGGCACATGGCAGACACACACAAAGCACATGGCAGGCGCACATAGGATAGGAGTGACCTATTTACAGAGGGGGGAGAGGGCGGAGGACTGACTTGTGGTAATGACGGCGGTGACAGCAAAGAGGGCTATAGACTAGACACACAGCAAGCACATGGCATGTGGCACATGCTAGACACACAGCAAGCACATGGCATGTGGCACACGTACGAGGCGAGGGAAGATGGTGGAGGATGAACACTTGGGCTTCCCTCCAGGTGACTCTGATGACGATGGTGATGATGGCAATGCTGCACTGCTTGTGCCGTTTGCTGCTGCCGGCACGGCAACAGCAGGAGCAGATTCAGCAGCAGAGGCAGGAGGTGGGGGTGGCAGGGAGTGGCTGCACCTCCTGGCGTAGCCACCCTCTGCTGGGATGAGAGGCGCTGCACACTGCGAGCAGAAGCGCTGAGGATAACAGGAGGAGGGGGGAGCACCAGAAAAAGGGGAGGACACGTAAGGCGCCTCATCAGTGACCTCCTGGCGTAGCATAGCCCCCCTCTGCAGGGAGACTTCTTTTGAGTCGACTCAAAAGCTCCTGCAGGGATGAGCGCAGCTGTGCACTGGGAGCAGAAGCGCTGGGGAGAAGGGGAGAAGAAGGGGAGGGGTGAAGACATTGAAAAAACACTTCCTGGCGTAGCCCCCCTTATGGGGATAAGCGGAGCCTCCTGGCGTAGCCCCCCTTATGGGGATAAGCGGAGCTGCACAGTGGGAGCAGAAGCACTGGGAAGAACCGCTTCTTCCCCATACAACTAGGGAGCGCGTGGAGGAGAGGGGGAGGGTTTTGGTGGGGGGGCCAACTTTTGAGGAGGCTCAAGAATGTAACTTGCGGCATAGCCCCCTTTTGGCGGAGCTGCACACTGAGAGCAGAAGCGCAGGGAAGCAGGGGAAGGGGGGAGCAGAAGACAAGGGGAAAACGCTTAAGGCGAATCGTCAGTAACTTCCTTCCTGGCAGTGCCCCCATCTGCAGGGACGATCTCCGGACAGTTGAGCCAGCCAATGCAACACATGCGCCACAGGTCAGTCAGACATGATACATCCCTACCCTAGTTGACTGTCAAGTTGTCATCTAAGTCACGCCTGCAGCATCCGTCCTAGTCGACGTGTGGGCCAACAGCTGCCTTGTGAGGACACGCTTCTTAACACTCGTGACAACTAAGAAAACGCACGGGCAAGCAAGCAACCCAGCCCAGCCCAGATCACACAGCAGTTGACTCGTAGCCCAACACTACCCAACCCTCAACACGTTTTGAGGCACCTAATGAATACAGACTACACAGCAGTTAACGCGTAGCCCAATACTACCCAACCCTCAACAACAGTCAACCCACATGCCTGCTGTGCCAGTCCATGAGCTCACTGGCATTCGCCAGCAGCCCAGCTGACACAGCTTAGAAGCATGTTGACATGTTGACATGTTGACATGTGCTTGAGTCCCCCTTCATGCCGTCTGCTGCTATCCCCCACATGCCCACTGTGCCGTCTGCTGCTATCCCCCACATGCCCACTGTGCATGTGACTGTAGTCCACGTGTAATGAGTCGCCTCTTGAGTCGACTCAAAAGCACTCCATGAGCCCCTCGGCATACGCTGGCAGCCCAACTCTCACACACAGCACACGGCAATCAACTCACACACCAGGACTACCCAACCCTCACTGGCACCCAACTCACATGCCGGCTGTGCCACTCCATGAGCCCGTTGGCATACGCCAGCAGCCCCGCATCAAAGGCAGGCAGCGTTGGCCCCTCGGAGCGCAGAGACACCCACTTGGCACCCGCTGGGGGGATGTAGGTGGGGAGGGGCGCCGCAGAGACACCCTCTGGCGACGGTGAAGAGCTGATGGGACGATAAGAGGGGAGGAATGAACGGCGGAATGAGGGAGATAGGCGACGCAAGGGGATAAGGGGCTTCCCCTCAGATTGCAGAGAGACCCGCTTGGCACTGGGGGGGGGGAGTGGGAGGGGTGGGGGGGAGGTGGGACCATGGGGGGGGTTGGGGTACGTGGGGATAGGGGATGCGGTGTGGGAGGGGACGTCAGGCGTTCATGATGGGGCCGACGGGGCCGACGGGGCCGACGGGGCTGACGTGGTGGAAAGAGTGGGGTGAGGTTAAGGTCCGGGAATGCGGGGGTCAAAGAATGCCCCTCAGGGCGCAGAGACACCCATGTGGCACCAGCTGTGGGGACGTGGGTGGAGAGAGGGGAGGAGGGGAGGGGTCGCTCGTTGGGGAGAGAGGGGGAGGAAAAGAGTGCGCGACTAGGGGGAGGAGAGGTCCCGAAAGGTGCTGATGGATGGAGAACTGCACGGAAAACGCAGGGAAGAAAAAGAGGGGGGAAGGGGGCAGGGGTGTGGGATGAGGGGATGTGGGGGTGGGGGTTGTGGGGAGGGGAGGGTGGAGGGGGGGGTTGGAGGGGGTGGGCAGGTTGCTGACGAGAGGCGGAGAAAGCAAGTGGAAATGAGTGGGACGAAGGAGGTGGATGAGAGGGGAGGGGGTGGTGAAGGGCAGAGGCGATGGGACGAGAGATGAGAGGCCGTTGCTGGTGGGCAAGAGTGGGAACGATAGACGACGCAAGGGCATGGAATTTGATGGCAAAAGGATGGGATTTAAGAAAGAGTGGGTTTGATGTCGGGGAAGGGCCGAGAGATACCCCAACAAGGCATGCCCAGTAAAATAACAGTGCGAAAAAAACTGAATCCGACAGGAAGGGACGGGCTACGCATTGGAAATTGAGGATGACCTGACGACACAGATCAGATCAGATCAGATCAGATCAGATCAGATCTAGTCAGACCGGAGCAGATCGAATCGAGTCAAAGCACATCGAATCATATCGGATCGGGTCATAGCACAGGACGTACTCCACAGCAACAGCAAAGGCAGCGTGGCCAGATGGCATGATAAGACCGAGGAAGCAGAAGGGGTCAGCTCCCGTGCTGCTGTCGCTGCTGCTGCAGTCAACACTGGCAGCGCTGGCAATGGCAATAGCAGCATCAGCAGCACCGTTGGAAGCACCATTGGAAGCAGCAGCACTGTCAGCGGCAGAAGCAGTGCGGGCAGGGTGAAGAATGATGTGAGCAGGAGAGGCAATGACTGCGCGGCCGTCCTGGATGAGGGAGCGGCCATGGCTCCATGGGATGACCTGATGGGCGCAGGGGATGGGCGCAGGGGTTGGGCGCAGGGGATGGGCGAAGGAAAGAATGGGGAGAGAGGATTGTAGAGAGAGCGTGCAGTGCCATCCTTGATGACGGAGCGGCCACGGCTCCACGGAACGACCTCATGGGAGGGAAGGGTGACGACGACAGGGTGGGGAGAGAGAGAGGTGGCGCGAGGGAGGGGGCGGGGACTGAGTGTGCTCTTGGCCGCTGGCACCATCAACGACCCGTGCCATGCTGTGACGCCGCACGCCATACCATGCCATGCCACATCATGCTATGCCATGCCATGCCATACCATACCATACCATACCATACCATACCATACCATACCATACCATACCATACCATACCATACCATACCATACCATACCATACCATCCCATACCATACCATACCACACCATGCCATGCCATACCATACCATACCATACCATACCATACCATACCATACCATACCATCCCATACCATACCATACCATACCATACCATGCCATACCATACCATACCATACCATGCCATGCCATGCCATACCATACCATACCATGCCACACCATGCCATGCCATGCCATACCATACCATACCATACCATACCATACCATACCATACCATACCATACCATACCATACCATACCATACCATACCATACCATACCATACCATACCATACCATCCCATACCATACCATACCACACCATGCCATGCCATACCATACCATACCATACCATACCATACCATACCATACCATCCCATACCATACCATACCATACCATACCATGCCATACCATACCATACCATACCATGCCATGCCATGCCATACCATACCATACCATGCCACACCATGCCATGCCATGCCATACCATACCATACCATACCATACCATACCATACCATACCATACCTACCATACCATACCATGCCATGCCATACCGTGCCATACCATACCATACCATACCATACCATGCCATGCCATGCCATACCACTCCGTGAGTGAGTGCCGTGTCGTGGCAAGCCGCACCACGGTGGTTGGCATCAAGAGGGCCTCTTTGAACCACTCCGCATCATTCCTCTACTACCCCGCCCTGTCAACGGATGCAGACGAGTAGAGCATCTTGAGCGAATTCACCATGCAACACCGAACCATACCAAAATCCCTCATACCGTACCATAGTGGTTGGTTTAGAGAGCGCTTCTTTGAGCCATTCAGCATCGTTTCTATGGTGCCCCGCCCTGTCAACGGACGCAGACGAGTAGAACATCTTGGGCGGATTCACCTCCACTGCTGCCCGTGCGGCTGCCGCTGCCTCTTCCCCTACGGGCCTGGACGCCCCCCCCTCTCTCGCTACCGCGCTGGTGCCCCCTCCTTCGGCCTCCCTTGCTCTTTCCCCCACGCCGCCGCTGCTGCTGCTGCTGCTGCTGCTGCTGCCTCTGGCGGCTGACTCAGCGGCTCGGATGCCCAACTGCTGAGCTGGCAGCTGCACGGCTCTCGGATGGAGACGATGGGGAGAAGCGGAAGGATAGGAGGAGTTACGACATTCGTATGGCACTAATAAGATAATCAGCATAATGGATTTGGGAGATTTCAAATGAAGATTATCATCTTACCCTGCTGCCAGCTGGGGAGGCAAAGGGCGTCGGACGATCGACACAGCGAAGCGACCGATCTCCCCGTCTGAAGAAGCCGATCGACGCGGCTGAACCGCGACTACACGCAAGCGATGACGCTAGCGAATTCGGCGAGATCCTTGTAGCGCGGATGCTTCGCCGAGCGTCGGAGTAACGAGCGCGCGGAAACGAGGAAGGTGAAATCGATGCTAGAGGGGTGCTCGAGGCCGCGCGCAGCGTGCAGAATTGCGCAGATACAGTGAATGTAGTCACGGGGAATGCAGATACGGTGAATGTGGACGCGCGAGCAGCGGCGAGATGGCGCGCGACGGCAGGGGAGGACGCGAGAGCCATAAGTGAAGGAAGGCGGCGAATCGAAACCGGGAGATCACGACTGCTTTGAAGCCATCGTCGCTGCGTTGTTGCGCGGCGCGATCAATCCCGAGTTCGAACAACAGCAGACGACGATGTGTGGGGGGGGGAGGGGGGTGTGGGGAAAGGATGGAGGGGAATACGCGTGAGCGAAGCCTCGTTATTTGCTGGGCGAGCGGTAGAAACTGCTAGGTTTGTTTTGTGGTTAGTGAAAGAACATTCGGGTAACCCAGTTTGGCAAGTCCAATACCGAAAGGAATCTTGTTTCGCACGCAATCACAACACGGTACGGCGGGGTACGAATGTGCATTCTTTCGCCCATGGTTCGAACCACCCCAAACCTCAGGGCTCGGTTTCCCCAAAGCGCAGGATTCGCGAATCGCCACACCTGGTTGCTCCTCGCGAACTGCAACGACAGCTCGCGAACCACTTACAACGCGCTAACCTCCACCACCCCAACTTAGCACACGAGTTTCTGACGAGCCTAGGAACCACCATACCGTAGTAGCATCCTCAGACCCAAGCCTCCTCCCTGCATGCCTGCTCGCTTGTCGCAGCGCCTTCCCCCATGTCGCCATCTAGCGCGAGCCATGGCTTCCAGCCGTTACCATTGTTCTCTATTCACCCCTAAGTTGCCCGTGGCATCAAACCTGGCTTTCCCGTCGACTGCTGGTTCTTGTCTCCCTGTCCGATATCAGCTCGTCGTTCGAAGCCCACTCCGCGTTTCCCCTGGTCGCGAATCAGACAGCGCCGCCGGTTGCTCTCTCCCGTTTCCCGCGCGACCGTATCGCTCGCTTCCGTTACTAACCGCACGCTCGCCGCCGTTAGCTGGGCCGCAGGTCTCCCCCTCCCGTTATTATCACAGTACGAGACAGGCAACATCGTTGAATTGTGTTCGATTTTATCACCACCGCTTTCCCTACGGCCAGGGGGGTCTCACCTGGCTGCCCGGATCGGACTCAGCACAGTCTGCTCCGTCTGTGATTGCCGCGGCAACAAGTGGTTCCGAGCCTTCTTCGTCGGTTTCCGAGCCTGTTGGTTCGGAATCCGAGCCTGCTGAATCGGTGGCCGAGGCTGTCGCCATGGCTTCGCCACCGGAGGGTATTGCGGGAAAAGCTGGCGCGAGTGATGGATCCCGTGCTCGGAAGGGTGTGGTTATACGCGATATAGAGCAACTGCAGCGAAAGAAGCAGGCGATGAGAGCAGCTGGACGCGATACAGTGCAGGTGAGCTCCAGCTCGGACCAGTCCCCCCATCACCTTTCCCCCCATCACCTTTTCCCCCATCACCTTTCCCCCCATCACCTTTTCCCCCCGATCCCAGACTTCCGCATTTCTCTATCCGTTCATCGCCAAGCTTCCTTCCCCCCTCCCCCCTGACTGTCACATGCACGTGCTAGGTGATCGCTGACTTCGACCGCACTCTCACCAAGTTCGCAGTCAACGGCAAGCCGGGCCAGAGTGAGTGACGGCTGGGGGGGAGGGGAAGCCAGGCCAGAGTGAGCACTCTCACCCCCCCTCACCCTCCCCTCTTGCCCCCCTCACCCTCCCCACTTGCTCCTCACCATCCACTCCCGCTTATGTCCAAATACACACTTATTCCCCTCCCGTTCCCTTCCTCATCCGTCTTTCCCCCCCCCCCAGGCTGCCACATGCTGCTGAATCTGGGCCACCCCGAGTTGGAGGAGAGGGGGCGGCAGCTGACAGCCAAGTACCTGCCTCTAGAGACGGACCCACACTTGCCCTATGAGGAGAAATTCAAATATATGGTGGAGTGGTGCGTGCTAGAAAGGAAAGAGTGTTGCTTTAAGTTTATGGCGTGTCTATTCTGACCCCCCCCTTCCGTTCCCCCTAAGGCTGCCACGTGTCAAGTGCATGGCGGCATGGTGGGTGTTCGCAGCTCATGGTTGACTATTGCCTGTATGGTTTGGAGCTTCCCCCCTCTCCCCCTTTCCAAAAGGCTGCCACATGCTGCTGTATCTGGGGCGTCCCGGGTTGGAGCAGAAAGGCCTGCAGCTTGCAGCCAAGTATTTGCCGCTAGAGACGGACCCACACCTGCCGTATGAGGAGAAATTCAAATGCATGGTGGAGTGGTGGGTGTCCTACGTTCATGGGGACTATGTTGTAGGTTACAAGCATGTGCCTTTGTGACGGACCCTCACCAGCCTTTCAAGGTGACGTTCATTCATGGGTGCATGGTGTAGCGGTGGGGGGGGCTGCCGAGGTCTGGGTTGAATGGTGAGTGCGAGGAAGAAAGGGCAGACGGCTGACAGTCAGTCACCTGCTTCTAAAAGCAGCCAAGTACGTGCCTCTAGAGAGCCAAGTACGTGCCTCTAGAGAGCCAAGTACGTGCCTCTAGAGAGCCAAGTACGTGCCTCTAGAGAGCCAAGTACGTGCCTCTAGAGAGCCAAGTACGTGCCTCTAGAGAGCCAAGTACGTGCCTCTAGAGAGCCAAGTACGTGCCTCTAGAGAGCCAAGTACGTGCCTCTAGAGAGCCAAGTACGTGCGTCTACAATGTGGACTGGCATGTGGATGGCAGCGCATGAGGTGCTACGGGAGAGTGGCCTCACCGCCCTGTGCCTCTGCACCCAACCACCTCGTCATTTCCTTCTCCCCACCCTGCTGCCCACCTCCCTTCCAACCGCTTTGTACCGCTCTGTATCCATGGCATATCCGCCCTCTAACCTGCATATGGCAGGTGGACAGCGGCGCACGAGCTGCTCCTGGAGAGTGGAATCACCCGTGCTGACGTCAGTCAGAGCGTGGCCGCTGCCAACACTGCCTTCAGAGACGGCTTCAGCGACACGCTTGCTCTGCTAGAGGTGGGTGAGGGGGTCTCACTGCTTGCTCTGCTGCAGGTGGGTGAGGGGGTCTCACTGCTTGCTCTGCTAGAGGTGGGTGAGGGGGGCTCACTGCTTGCTCTGCTGCAGGTGGGTGAGGGGGTCTCACTGCTTGCTCTGCTGGAGGTGGGTTGGTCCGCTCACTCTCGCTAGTAGATGTGCTGGTTATGCCACATGCCTTTGTACAGTAAATAACATTCCTCTATCTTCGCTGCACTCGTGGTTCTCGACTGCGCGACTGCGTCTTCATCTCTCCCCCCGGTGCCTCAACAGGCGCACGGCATGCCCCTTCTCCACTTTGGATTTGTCGCCATATCTTTTGACATCTGCTCCTCTCTCTACCCCCTCTGCTCTTTTCCCCCCGCTGCTCTATCTCCTCCCTCCTCTCTCCATCTCTCCGCTGTGCTTCTCTCAACAGGCCCATGGTGTGCCACTTCTCATATTCTCCGCTGGGCTGGCAGACGTGATAGAGGAGGTGAGATGAGAGAGGAGGGGTGAGATGAGAGAGCGGGGGTGAGATGAGCGAGGGGGTGAGATGAGAGAGAGGAGGTGAGATGAGAGAGAGGGAGTGAGATGAGAGAGAGGAGGTGAGATGAGAGAGAGGAGGTGAGATGTATGCCATGGTTGGTATGGTTGGTATGGTTGGTATGGTTGGTATGGATGGTATGGTTGGTATGGTTGGTATGGTTGGTATGGTTGGTATGGATGGTATGGTTGGTATGGTTGGTATGGTTGGTATGGTTGGTATGGTTGGTATGGTTGGTATGGTTGGTATGGTTGGTATGGTTGGTATGGTTGGTATGGTTGGTATGGTTGGTATGGTTGGTATGGTTGGTATGGATGGTATGGTTTGGTATGGTTGGTATGGTTGGTATGGTTGGTATGGTTGGTATGGTTGGTATGGTTGGTATGGATGGTATGGTTGGTATGGTTGGTATGGTTGGTATGGTTGGTATGGTTGGTATGGTTGGTATGGTTGGTATGGTTGGTATGGTTGGTATGGTTGGTATGGTTGGTATGGTTGGTATGGTTGGTATGGTTGGTATGGATGGTATGGTTGGTATGGTTGGTATGGTTGGTATGGTTCGTATGGTTGGTATGGTTGGTATGGTTGGTATGGTTGGTATGGTTGGTATGGATGGTATGGTTGGTATGGCTGGTATGGTTGGTATGGTTAGTATGGTTGGTATGGTTGGTATGGTTGGTATGGATGGTGCACAGAAGGTCATGAAGGTTTGTGTATGTCGTAATGGGCATGGACTGTCTTTTTCAGTTCCTTTTCTTTGCCATGAGCATGGGACAATGTATGTCTGCTTCCGGCCTGTGCTCACCGGCATTCGCCTATCGTCAGTTGTGTACTCAACTCTTTCTCACGCCCTCACACTCCCCTTCACGCCCTCACACTCCCCTTCACGCCCTCACACTCCCCTTCACGCCCTCACACTCCCCTTCACGCCCTCACACTCCCCTTCACGCCCTCACACTCCCCTTCACGCCCTCACACTCGCCTTCACGCCCTTACACTCCTTCCCATCAGCTCCTGCATCAGCAGCTTCCTCGCTCCTTCTCCAACGTGAGAGTGGTGTCCAACCGAATGCAGTTCGATGAATCTGGACGTCTCGTCGCCTTTCCAGGTGGGTTTCGGCGAGATATTAATCGTGCCACATGTGCTATCATGTGCCATCATGTGCTATCATGTGCTATCATGTGCATACAGCATTTCTGTTGACGTTTCACTCCAACCTCCCCGAAAATGTTCCTGCAGGCCGCATCATTCACGTGCTCAACAAGAACGAGCACTCACTTGAGTTAGCTGCTGCGGAGGAGCAGGCAGCTTCCACAAGTGATGATGGCAAAGAGTTTGTGAGGAATGTGGAACAAGGCTCAGCCACGCAAGTGCTTACGATGGCCAAGAAAGGTGACAATAACAGTTCTGATACAGTCACACATGGTACAATCACAGCAGCAGAGGAGGTGGCGGAGGTGCGGAGCAGGACGAATGTGATTCTACTGGGGGACCATCTGGGGGATCTGGGGATGTCGGAGGGCGTGAGCATCAGCAATCAGATCGCGGTGGGGTTTTTGAACCACGATGCGGAGCGCCAGCTGGAGCTGTACACGCAGGCGTTTGATGTGGTGGTGCTTGATGATGGGCCCATGGACGTGGTCATTGAGCAACTGAAGGATATTTTCTCTTAGGGATAATGATGTACTGTATTCCCCCGGATATAAGGACCGCCCTTTATTTCGCACCATGGTGTGTTTATCCGGGTAGGGTGCCACATCGTCAATTCCGATTAGGCATGAGCAACGTCCCGGCCCGGTCCGACCCACCCGGTTTAGGATCGGCTCAACTAGAAACCGAGCCAAGCCGGCCCGGCTCGACCCGGGCCGGTTTCTCAGACTTCCTGACTCGGTCCGAGTTTTTAGACCCGGGCCAACCCTGGCCCGGGGGGCGGGGCGGGCCGGCCCGCCCTCAAAACCAGGGCCCAAATTAGCCGGGTGAAATGCCCTGATTGCCCTGATTTTTCAGGGCATTTTTTTAATTTGGTCTTAAAAATCAGACTTACGAAATTTATTACCCTGATCCAAAAAGTGTTACGAAAAAATTACCCTGCCGAAACTAGGGTTGCGGGGCCCCGAACCCTGACCCTTCAGGGTGTCCTGAAAACTACCCTGGTATCGAAACTCTGAGATTCTGACTAAGTTCTTGGCGGCCAGAAACATTCCCCCCACAACACCCTGCAACCCAAAAATTTCGACGAAGTCCCTGGCGGCCAGAGTCATTCCTCCCACCCCACGCACCATGCTGTTGGGCTGAGAAAAGCCCTTAGGATCTTTTGCAGAGACTAAGTCCCAGCTGTAGAGACTTGAGACTTGGAGTAGTGCAGCGGAAGTTGAGGCAGTTGAACCCTTGTACTAGTATGTGAGAACAAGTGATTGATTAAAGAAAAAGCATACAGCAATATATAGAAGATAAGAAAGCAGTTTGCAGAGTACAGTTACAGGAACGGTTTATCGAGTCGCATAGCGACTCGATTGCCGCTTCGGTTACCATCCGTGATGCTGTAACGGTCAGTCGCAACCTCCAGTTGCGACCCTTTGAGTCCCAGACCCTTCGTGTTCTTTGTCCGCCCCCTCGTGTAACCTCCGTTGACTCGCGTACCCCTTGCAATCTTCCTCGAGTGTAGTGTTACACTTCAGAAACGCTTAAGTCTTTTGATGTACTTTCAACACTCCCCTTCGTTTCTGGAGTGCTGACTTGTTCAGGTCCGATGACGTTTGTTTGTCCGGTCAGCACCATGCAGTAGTCGAATTTTGCCTTCGCCAATTTCTTCGTCAAATAGTCTGCGGCCATTTCTGTCGTCGGGCAGTAACTGAGTTGAAGTCTCCCCTTCGCGATTTCATCCTTGACGAAGAAGTACCGCAGGGCGATGTGCTTGGTTCGGTTGGCGAAGCCGTCCTTGTTTGCAATTTTGATCGCAGATTGGTTGTCGCAGAAGAGTGAGAAGGCGGGCAGGGTCGCGATCTTCGCTTCCTCGAGTAACTCTCGCAGATAGAGTCCTTCCTTGGTCGCGGTACAAAGGGCGATGTACTCTGCTTCAGCAGAGGATAGTGCGATTAACTCCTGCTTGCTCGACTGCCAGGAGATAGTTCCGATGGGTTCTAGTCGGTAGATGTAGCCCGTCCTAGATCGTCGATTTTCCCTATCTCCCGCGTGGTCGGCGTCGACGTATCCGAGTAGTTGTACGGACGATGTTGTCGCTTTGCTGTAGGTAAGTCCGATCGTCGGCGTGGAGATGAAGTAGAGTAGTGCCCGGTTGAGCTCCTCGAGATCCTCCTGTTCCGGTTGCTTCAGATGCGTCGCCAGTTGACTTGCACTATAGGACAGGTCGGGTCGGCAGGTTACTGCTGCAAATAGTAGGCAGCCGAGCTTCTGTTGATATTCCTGGATTTGCTTCACGGGGAGTTTTGCGGAGGCGCTGTTGTTGTTTCCGTAGCGGTAGGGAGTTGAGGCGGTAGCCGGTGTTAGTCCGAATTTCTTCGCGACAGTGCCTGCGTACTTTCCAGCGTGTAGGTAGAACGCCGAGTTGTCTTCGACGATATTTAGTCCCAAGTACTGGGTCACTGAGTCGGACACTGTGAGCGTCAGGTCCCCTTTCAGCTCCCCTTCGAACCAGGTGACGATGTCGGTGGTAGAACCGATGTAGAGCAGGTCGTCGACGTAGACGATGAGCAGAATGTAATCTCTTCCCTTCTGCAGTCGGTACATGGCTTGGTCATGTGGTAGCTGTAGGAAGCCGATTTTTACGAGACGGCTGTGAAGATGCTGCTGCCAGAGCCGCGGGGCTTGCTTGATCCCGTATAGGGATTTTGTCAGTCGGCATATTTTCGTGGGGTCGTCGATGAATCCGTGGGGTTGTTCGACGAAGATCTCAGCGTCCACAGGTGCGTATAGGAACGCATTCGCGACATCGATTTGGCGTAGCGGTAGTGTTTTCGTGGCCGCGACGGCGAGTAGGATGCGTAATGAGGTGTGACGGGAGACTGGAGCGAAGGTTTCTGTGTAGTCGGTTCCGTATCGTTGATCGAAGCCTCGTACGACCCATCGAGCTTTGAATCGTTCGATGGAGCCGTCTGAGTTGGTCTTGATGCGGTACACCCATTTCCCCGAGAGAACGTTCTTCCCGTTGATGCTCGTTGCAGGTACCAGTTTCCATGTTTCTCGGTCTTGCAGAGCTTTTAACTCTTTTTCCATCGCTTCCTTCCATTTTGCCTTATGTTCCCCCCCCAGAGCCTGCGACAATGTTGAAGGCTCACGCGTAGAAGGCGGCGGCGGATGCTGGACGGAGACCCAGAGGCCTAGAATCTGGAGTCCCGTGGGTGTGTGTCGAGGGGAATTGTTATTCCCGGAATAAGCTGCTTCGTCACCGTCTTCGGGGTCAGGTAAGAAATTGGGGCCGATGCGTTCCGAAATATTCGTGTCGACGGGGTGAGGTGTAGCGTAACCTTGGTCGGCGAAGTGGTAAAAGGTGTCGAGGTTGTTGCTATCGAGGGGATTATCTTCATCTAGTGGAACAGGTACGGAACAGAATGGGAGTGGCCCGGCAGCTTCCGAGGCTCCAGGTACGTCTTCTTCTGCTGCGTCAGCTTCGGCAGCACGATCGGCGAAGGAACGAAGTCCCGAGAGGCCGTCGGTGGGGTCTTGTGTGTTGGCAAGGTTGTCCAGGTAATGCTGCAGAGTCAGTCGTTCGTAGAAGATAACGTCTCGTGATGCCACCGTGTTTTTGTCTTGTATGTCGAGAATTTTCCACGCGTGAAAATGTTTCGCGATGCCGAGGTGGAGTCCCCACCGAGCTCGTTGTGTGAAGCGTCCTGCTCGGGCTGTGTGGGGTCTGTTCTGTACCATGCAGCCAAAGACTCTGAGTAATTTTGTGCTGCCCCTTTTTCTTGTCCACAACAGGTGCGGTGATGCGTTGTTGGGAAGTGATGACGAGGACAGCAGGTTGTGCAGGTGAACAGCATGTGTCATCGCGTCTGGCCACAGTGTGGTTGGCAGTCGCATCCCCTGAAGCAGTTTTCGCATCGTCGTCTGCAAGGTCCGATTCATGCGTTCTGCTACCCCCTGCTGTTGGTGAGCATAGGGCAGGGACACCAGGCGTCTGATTCCCCTTTCCGCCAGATAGGTCCTGAAGCGTTGTGACTGGTATTCCAGTGCACCGTCTGACTGGAAGCTCTTGAGTTTGAGTCCTGATTCTCGTTCGGCGATGGGGAGCCATGTTGTGAAGGCTTCGAAGGCTTGGTCGCGCGTTTTGAGATTGAAGTGCCAGACATATCTGGTTGCGGCGTCGATGAAAGTGATGACGTAGTTAAAGTCGGCTTCGGCGTCGTCTCGAGGCATGTTTAAAATATCGCTGTAGACTTTTTCCATCGGAGCGTAAGTAGGTGCGCTTGGGTTGTGATGGGATGGAAAAGGTTGATGAGGAAGATCTGCTTCGGGGCATGTGAAGCACCGTGCGCGTGGTCGTCGAAGTTCTTGACCGCTCGTCGTCAGAAGGGCGTTGCGTTCTAACACCTCTGCTTGGATTGTTTGAAGTATTGTGCTGTTTGCAGGGTGTCCGAGGCGTTGGTGCCAGATGTCGTCGGGAGCACGGTGACCGGGCGAGCGGTGGTAGATGTCGGCGTTGGAGAAGAACGCGACGACCGAGGCGGGACTTCGACAAGCTTCTCGTGTGGCGGGCATAAGTTGGTCTGCTTCCGTTGGCGGTCCTCGTGTTGATGGTGGTGGTACTCGGCTGGGTCCTGCTGCCCATACTGCAGGTGATGGTTTTGTTGGGACACTTGCGGGTACTTGTCTTTCTTGTCTGATAACTGCTAATGCTCGTGTTCTCTCTGCTGCAGGTATGGTGTTGGAGTGCCAGAAGCCGTCACTGTCAAAGTCGGGATCAAGATCTGGCGGGTGAGTCCAGGCGGCGAACGATACGATGCCATCGCTGTCGGCAGTTCCGCGGTCGGGGACGAAGTCCAACACGAAGACACCGGACTTCAGGAGGGCACGACCGATGAAGAGGCCGCCCTTCCCGTGGTAAAGTCGAAACTCGTTGGAGTAAGAGTCGCACTCCAGGTGAATCCCTTTGGCCATTAGTTGGCTTACGCTTAGTAGATTGTATCCCAGGTTGTCGACAATGAGCACTTTGTTGAGCTGCAGTATTACGTTTGTTTCCATGGATTGTAACTGAACCACGCCTTGTCTGTTTGTCTTCAGGTTTTCGTTGTTGGCGACTGTGATGATGACGTCGCGGTTGAGTCGTTTCTCCTGTTGCACGAAGCGTCCCGAGGAGCACATGTGTTGACCGCAGCAGCTGTCCAAGAACCAGGTGTTTCGCCCGGTGGGTTCGGCGTTGGCGACTGCAGCGTATGTCGGGTTGACCTGAAGTCCTTGCGAGCGCGGCGGCGGGAATTCCTCTTCGTCTGGTGCGTAAGTGGGTGGTGAACCGGGTGCGCAGTTGTCGATGTGTACCATGCAGTTGATGATGTTGGGTGTTTGTTGTGCAGATGTTGAAGAGCGCCTTGGAGGACTTGCTTGAGTGGAAGCGACTTGTGGGTCTGCTGCACGGTAAACGCGAGGGCGGTTGCAGTTGACTTTGGAGTGCCCGGAAGTCTGGCAGTTGTGGCAGAACGGCGGTACGATGGTGAGTCCTCGGTTGTCGCGTTGATCTTGCTTGCTGCGTCGGTTGTAGTTGTTGTCATTTCTTCTTTGAGTGTAGAAGACTAACTGCTGTTGCTTCCTTGGTTGTCTTTCCTCGAACAGATCCATCTCCTGTTGTTCAGCGTGAAGCTCGGCGCAGAGGTGCATCTCCGAGATTCTTCCGTGGGCTCGAAGAAGTGATCGTGTGGTTCTCCATTCTGGCCCGAGCCCGGCGAGGACAAGTGTCACGAAGCTTTCTTCAGTGATCGTTCCTCCGCACCGAAGCAGGCGGTCGCGGAGGGTCTGGCAGCGAC